TGGGTGACTCATCCCTGCCATTTATGGTTGGAGCAAACACGGTGGAAGACCAGAGGGCTCGCTGGGAGAGAAAGCGCTGCCGGACAGCCAAGGAGCTGCTGGAAACCGAACACAAATACCTTGAGCAGCTGGATTTGGTGGTCACAGTGAGTATTTGTGCCCCTTCTGATGTGCTATTATCTTCAGACAGCACATACATACTAGTGTTGTCATGGGGAAGGGTGAAGAGCTTTAATATATCTCTAGTGCCTGGGACACCTGCTGAGGCAGAAAGGTTGGGGTTTTTTTTGTTTTTCTTTTGCCTCCTCTGTAATATTTGATAGGTTATGGGTTTGGCCTTCTGGTTTTCTTCTGTGCACAGACATAAATCTTTCAAGCTTTGATTGTATAGGAGACTCATCCTAAGATGCTTGGATGTACGAAATGTAGGGGCACGGACAAGACAAATATTATGAATAAGGTGGTGAAAAACAGATACATCTAGAGATAGTGTAATAGACTCTTATCAGTGCTGCAGAACTGTTCCACATGTTTGTAGTTATAGCCAAAGTTACACATAAAGCCTTCATCTGATGATGGATGTCTTAGGTAGACATTCACAATGTTTGATATCCTTCCGAGCAAGAGTGTGCAGGCTGCAGCTTCTGGCTTCTGCTATGTGCCACAAATAACTTTTGAGTGACCTCATAGTTTAATAATCTTTGTGGCCTTCCAGTACTTGAAGACAGCTTATACAAAAGAGGGAGAGCATCTGTTTATGTGGACAGATAGTGATAGGACAAGGGTGAACAGTTTTAAACTGAAAGGGAATAGGTTTAGATTAGATATTAGGAAGAAATTCTTTACTGTGAAGGTGGTGAGGCGCTGGTACAGGTTGCCCAGAGAAGCTGTGGATGCGCCATCCCTGGAAGTGTTCAAGACCAGGTTGGATGGGGTTTTGAGCAAACTGATCCCTGTGGGTGGCATGACTGCCCATAGCAGGGGGATTGGAATGAGATGATCTTTAAGGTTCCTTCCAGCCCAAGACATTTTGTGATTCGATGATGACCTGTGAATTCTACCTGCTTGAAATTCTGTCTTTTCTCCTACTTAGTACTTTGTGACAATTTTAAAGGCCAAAGGGACTCTGAAACCTGCTGTGCTGCAAACTATATTTGGACCCTTGGAATCCATATATTCGGCCAGCAAGTAAGTGGCCACACAATGCAATTTCTGTAATTATATTGGTAGGACTCTACATTGATGAGAAAATAGATTTTGGGAAATAAAGCCAACACCCTGTGAAAGAGGCATTCACTTCCAGCACTGCAAGCCTTGGTGGCACTTGGATGTGTACCCAGGAAACTGCTGATCTGTGTCCACATATCTGGATACCCAGTAGTTGAGTAGTAGTTTAAGCTCAGTAAGTCTCCTTCACAGTGTGCATGCTGTAGCTTACTCTGTGACCTCCAAGCACTTATTTGGCACAGAAATTGGATATGAGGTGGAGAGTGACAAAGGAAGATCATTATAGGAACGAACCAGAACCTGTGAAAGTGGAGTCAGCAATATACCCCTCACAAGCTATCTTTGCTCCTTGTGCACAGTGTTTTGTCACTTCACCTGGAGAGAGGGAATTTGGGATCAGGACTGGAAAATTTTTGTCAGAATCTGGATCTTTATGGCCACTATGCTGAGAACTTGGAGCAGGCAAATAAAACCTTGAAGGTAAATATCCACCCACTTTACTCTTTATAGTCTTTCTTTTCTTCCATTCTGTGAAACAGCTACATCCTTCCCTTTTTTTTTCTGTTTCTGGAGTGATCAGTTTTCTACTTTTTCTGGGCTGATGATATTCAGTCTTTCTTCCATAATAAAATGATTAAAACTTCTATTTACTTAGACCTTCAAATTTTTGATGCTTTTTTCAGGTGTTTGTGTATATATTTGCATATGCTGAACACAGCTTTCTCGGAGTTACATATTTACTCCCACTCCTTGGCTGGCAAACCTAGAGAGTTTCCAGGCTTTCAGTAGAGTACAGCGATTTCTTTCTGGGAATCACCAGATCAAGTCTTTCCCAGTGTCACTAACTGTATCCTAGCAGTAGGATTTCCTTCTCCTTAGCAGTTTTTGTTCTATGGTAGAAGAAAATATTTTCCTTACTACTTACCTCTCCAAATACAACCTGTCTTCCAAGAAATTTCAGTAGGACCTGTTTATATTCCAAAGTCCTGGCAGCTCTATCTGGAATTTAAATGACCTAATTTCCAGTTTTTGCCCATGCTTGTTCACAGATGCAGGATGTACTGGGATGTTTGTGTTTGCATGCACATATTCACACTTTTGATTTCCCAAGAGAAAAAGCCACTTTGGATACTTGCCTTGAGGCAGTGGGAATGTGGGGATGCATTACTTTGCCTCGAAATGAGTGGCACAAAGCCACAGGTGGACTCTTTGTTTTCCAAACTGTGTCAACATTTCCTTTTCCTTTATTTTCCTTTGCTGTGCATACTATCTTTATAATGCTGTGCTTGTGTGAAGCGGGGATATCACTTCTATTACCCACTGTAAATGATGATCAGGAGAAAGGGACTGACTTGCCCATGGCCACAAAAGAAGTTGATGCTTGTGATTAGGACTGGAGTACTCAACTCCAAGTTGAAGGATTCTGAGCTCTGGTGCAGACTAGAGCACATAGTTCTTTATGCAGTTTCAATGTTATATGCCTTTTCTGCTGCACACAGGAGCAACTGAGGAAAAATAAATCATTCCGGCGGTTTAAGAAACTCCAGGAGACTCGACCTCAGTTTCAAGGGAGGGAGCTAGAGGATTTGCTTCCTTTGCCCCTGCAGAGACTGCAACAGTAAGTAAGCAATTGTGAGTCTTCAAGGGGTTAGCATGAGAAGGGAAGAAGGAGCATAACAGCATCTTGGTTGCTAGGCGAGGTAAAGTCGCTTAATGTGTCTCAAAATAGGAGCATAATAGACAACAGTGAAGTTGTGAAGATGTGCCTGTAAAGAGAATCAGTGTACATGGATGGGAGATGATGCAGGGAGGTAGTTCGTTTTAGCCCTGACTCATATGCCCTTCATCTAGCTCTTGGGTAGAGTTGGAGGCTTTCTGTCATCTTAGTAGGCTAGGGAAGTTCAGCCCTGAATGGCAGCAAGCTGTCTGAAATGCTGCTGAAGTGGTGGCCTCTGACAGAGCTTTTGTACAGGTTGTTGAACGGGAGCATTGTCACTCTTCTTTTGTAGATGGTTGTTTTTGGACAGAGATGAAATTAATGAACACAGGAGGGTTTTCTTCCCTCTGGTTATCAGGGCCATACACTTTCTTCAGATTTTATGCCTACTGCAGTTGTCTGAACCTGGGCAGATCCACTCTGGATTGCTGCATTTCCCTCTTGAGGCACCAAGACTTTCAAATTTCAGGAACTGTTTGAACAACACTCAAGCGAGCACACAGTGTGAGTGCACACAGTGTGATCCTCGGGGCCGTCCCCTGCAGAGGCAGGAGTGGGACTCGATGATCCTTATGGGTCACTTCCGACGCAGGATACTCTATGATCACCTCCCCTCTGAAGGGGCAAGCTGAGTGCACAAGGAGACTGCTGCATGCACTCATAGGCAGACCTTTCTTGTGGAGGGTGTGTGGATAATGAAGAGCACAGGTAGTTTGCTGGGAACCTAGCTGCTGCTGCTATAGATGAAGTAGCTGTGTTTCAGCAGTGGTCTTATCCACACTAAAGCAAATTTAAGAGACTGAGCACCTTGTTTGTCTGGAAATAACTTGGAGTGAGCATACCACAGTCTTTCAGGTAGCTTTATGTAACATGTTTAATCAGCTTGGCAGAAATAAATCCCAAACTGATCCGTGTTTTTTTGCTATAATTCTTTGAATAGTTCCTTTAAATTTGTAAAATAGCAGCGTATTTGTTGCTGTCCAACTGTTTGGAAAAATGTTACCTTGTTAACAGGAGGTCTAATTTTTTTCATTAATCAGCTCTATCATGTGCAGATTTCTTCAAAACTTTGTTAACATATACACTAAGTCATATGAGTTTTACCAGTTTGTGAATCTGTTCAATTCCTTCTGTCATTTCAGACTGAAAATAATTTGACTTTACTGAGAGAAAGCATTTGCAGAGATCTAATTGCTTCTAGTAAAGACTGGAGAGGAAAAAGGAAAAAGGCAGATCCTGGTTCATTTAGAAATGCCTTTATTTTCTTGTGTGGGCAGGAAACATGGTATGAATGCCACCATTCAGATATTAAAAAAATAGATAGCTCAAAGTGTGTGTCCTTGAAGGCATTTTTATGTGAATGCTAAGAGAGTCTCGTGAACTTAAGTAATTTGTGAGGCTGCTTTTATTGGAATCCCAGAAAAAGCTGAAGGCTTGCAAGATGTATAAAATACTTGGGTTAATTTAGCTGATAAACCTGAAGATAAAATTAATGTCACTGAAGCTTAGAGGTCTACACTCCATCTTCTGATGGAGTGTTGTTCATGATGCTGTCACTAACAGGAGGTGCTACTTTACTGGTGTCTTGTGAATTAAACCTGCTCTCTCCAACTTAGGTACAAGCATTTCTTCAGAGACCTGCTGGAGAATACCAGCCCAGACAGTGCTGAGTACCAGAAACTTGCAAGTATGATTCCACCTGTAGAAGCTGGCACTTTGATCAGTGATAGCCTCCTCCCTAATAATGTTTGGATTCTCACCTCCTGTCTGTTTCCACAGGAATATGAATCTTTCTTTTACTGGGATTCTAGTGAATTACTATCTCCTTTCTGCATCCTGATCAATATATCCCTGAGAACATATTGGAAAGAAAAATGTAGAGTAACTGACTGGGAAAGTGGCCAAGGAGGTGGAAAAATGGCATCCCTTTTTTTTTTTTTGTTTGTTTAGCTTATAGGGTTGTCTAATTGGAAGGTAACCCTGCCTATTGCAGAGGAGTTGTAACTAGATGATCTTTAAGGTCCTTTACAACCCAAACCATTCTGTGACTCTCTTGGTCACCTGTCTTGGTTTTCTAGGATAATTCATGTCATTCATGCCGTATTTTCAAGCAGTTAACAACACTTGTAGGGCATTTTTCCTGATTTTGCTTCCAAATCCAGGAAATTATTCCTCTGTCTAATGGTTCCTTGGCAAACAAATTTTTTCTAGAACTGAAGGTCATCTAATCCAATCTCTTGCTGAAATTACTGAATGAAACTGTTGTTGGTACTTGGTTTAAAACTTTTCTTCTTAATTTCATATTATGTTTTCTCAGCAAGACAGATAAGGCAAAATACATACTCATTTGTGATTATCTGGGAACATGCTGCTGTAATTTCAGAGGCTGTGAAAACTCTTTCTGAGGTATCTTGGTGGGTCCAAGACATTATGGATAAGAGGCAGAACTCATTGCAGCTACTTCGGGTTCAGAAACTGCTCAAAGGACAGAAGACTCAGATTTTGACTCCAGGTAGGTCTTACTGACGGCTCTATTTGTCTTCTGCCATGCTCAGGTAACTGGAGATATGCTCTTCTTCTCTCACTCAATTCACATTAACCAGCTTTCCCCTTCTCCCCACATTCCATAGAGAGGGGGTGAAGGAATATGACTACTAATTCAAGCACATTTTCTTTTTTAAGTTAAGAATTTTTGAGCAAGGGTAAGCAGTAGCTCAACTGCCTGACACTCAGATAGGAAGAGCTGATGGCATGCAGAAAGAAAGTTAGGAACCCAAGGAGGTCATGAGTATGAGTCCTGGGTGAGAATGAAAGAGAGAGAGACTAAATAATGTTGGAAGAATGTCAGTAGTGGTACTGTCCTCCCTCCATTGTGGGAATCACAGATTTCTCAGTGTCACGGCCCAAAGACTGTGGTATCTTGTATCCTAAGCTATAAGCTTCATGGACTTCTGCTCATACCCTTCATATGAAGAATTTTCTTTTATCTGGATGGCTAAAACGTGCCAGAAATCAGAGTATTTGTGTTGATGCCTGAGATATATAAAGTCACAGTTGCTGTGACTGATCAGAGCTTAGCCTGAGGGACACAGTTCCCAGTCCAGCCCCATGCTGCTGACACCTTTCTTCCATTTCTTTTTTTAACTTGGATTTATTCCTGCACCTCACCCTTCTCTTTCTCAGTTTCAGAAAAGAGGAGTGGTTCCTGTGGAGTAAGCTAAGCAGGAATTCACTTGCCTCTTTGTTTTGTGACTGTAGCATACAGAGTTAAGACACAATCCCTAATTAAAACAAAAGTGTGTTTTTTTCCAAAAGGTACTTAATATCTCATACATGACAACAGTGCCTGAAATTCCCTGGCAGGTTTTGCCCAGACAAGGCCAGGTGGCAATAGCTTATTATGGCTTTAGATCTTTATAAATAACCTTACTGAGGTGTTTTCATAATTCTCATGAGTGGACAGCTTGCACAATAATCCTAGTTAGAGGTTCTGCTTTAACCATAGAATCAGTCATAGAATCAACCAGGTTGGAAGAGACCTCAAAGATCATTGAGTCCAACCCTACCGTCATTACTAGACCATGGCACTAAGTGCCACATCCAGTCTCATCTTGAAAACCTCCAGGAATGGTGAATCCACCACCTCCCCAGGCAGCCCATTCCAATGCCTGACTACTCTCTTTGTAAAAAAATATCTTCCTAATATCCAGCCTAAACCTTCCCTGGCAGAGCTTGAGTCTGTGCCCTCTTGTCCTAGTGATAGTTAGACATTTTGTATAGTTGCCAGTTTTAAAATTGCTGCTTACAGTTAGGTTTATCACATTGATTTGTTCATTTTCCTTCTTTCCTTTCTCCTACTTTATCAAAGTTCATTTCATGGGTGAGTGACACTGGGTTCTGTTCTTTAAGAGAGGTTGATAATGTTGTCTATTCAGAGACTCATTGTTTTGTCTCTCTGCTCTCTTCTCCTTAGAACAGTGATCTGCACTCTGTAGTCTCTTATCTGCTGGAGGTCTGTGTATAGTCAGATGACCTGTGAAACATGGGGGTTTGGGTTTTGTCTTAATTTAAATTTATTTAATTGGCACACACGAGCAAAAAAACCAAGGGAAAACCCAGCAAATTTTCAAAGCTTAGGCTAACCTCTGTTTCACCAATAATGACAAACAATGGGGCAACACTGCCTAAGATAGCACATGGTGTGTTTCCTGAAGGTTTATGTTAATTTAAAGGTATGCATACCATTTCCAAACCATGTTTTTGTTCTGATAGCTTTAAGCAGACTTGCATATCATAATATCCTCTTAATTAACAAAGCAGATTTGTAACAGCTTTAGCCTGCTTCTCATACACTAAACGTTTTGGGTGAATTGCTGCTCTTGCTGCTCTCCGATCTGGTGTGCTGGAGACCACGTTGATATTTAGTGCCTTCTAGCGGCTGGAACTGATATCGAAACCGATGACCTACAAGGGTGGCTCACACTGTGCTCCTGTTTGTCTCATTACATTCTTTTGTGCTGTTTTCCCACTGATGGTCTGACAACTGCCTCTGTTTCCCTTGCATGCTTAGGACGCTGGTATATCCGGGAAGGCTGGCTCTTGGTGGTGCCTACGAAGGGAGAAGAACTGAAACGCAGGATGTTCTTCCTGTTCTCTGACATCTTTATTGCAGCAAAGCCCTGTCACCCACTGCACCCACTGAACTCGCACAAACTGGCATGCCAGGCTGTCTACCCACTTCGCCAGTGCACCGTGGATAAAGTGTTCGGCCACACGCAGAGCCAGGGAGGGCTCCTCAGTGTAAGTCTTCCTACGCCTGCCTGGCAGGAGCACCATTGCAGTCAGACTTGGAAGCAGATTTCTAGCTGTCTCAGCAGCTGCAGAGCTGGGATGATGAGAGTGGTGATGATATTAAATGCAATGAACTAGTCTGAGTTAGGGCAACCCTTCTCTACTTGAGTGATGTAAGTCCTTTTCCATCCATGGTGTAGGCCCTCCTGCACACTCTGGGGTACAGGTTGCTGGTTGCTTCACTTAGCTCAGGTGAGGAGTGTGCAGTACAACCCTGACAGGCTCTCATCAGAGCCACAGGTTTGGGGGTCCAGCCCCACAGTCATGCAACAATAAATATGTAGCATTACATTGACTCTGGGCTGAACTTACAGAAAAACACAACGAAAGAGATGTGGATATTACCACAACAGATGTTACTTGTGCATCTTACTCCCTGAGGCCTGCAGGACACTTGAGAGAGACCAGTGTCTTCAGTAGGGGTTTCACATTTGGGTCTTGCTACGTTGCAGCACCAGGAGCTGTTAGCTCATTCCTTGTCAGCTGTGACAAGGGGTAAGCTGTGACTTGTAGATGGAAGGACCCCTAGGGATAGCTTGGAATACAGGAGAAAACGGGATGAAGAGCTGTTGAGAACTGCAATTGCCCACTTCCAAACACCCCATTAAGTTGAAGTGAGCTGTCATCTGCAGCTGGAAGGGATGGACAAGACTGGCACTTGCTCTGTACTGTCCAGCCTCTGGTTTCTCCCAGTACCAAGGTTAAATGTTTCTATCTGAGAAGGAAAGTAGTGGAAATCAGCATGCTGGACAAGACTGGCACTTGCTCTGTACTGTCCAGCCTCTGGTTTCTCCCAGTACCAAGGTTAAATGTTTCTATCTGAGAAGGAAAGTAGTGGAAATCAGCATGCTGGACAAGACTGGCACTTGCTCTGTACTGTCCAGCCTCTGGTTTCTCCCAGTACCAAGGTTAAATGTTTCTATCTGAGAAGGAAAGTAGTGGAAATCAGCATGCAAGGCTGCGCTCAGTTCTATGGTGATGGCTCCCCTTTTGTCAGAGCTGCTGCCTTGGTAAGGAATACCACAGATTCTGTTTGCCTTTCAGCTCTCCTTTCCACACAAGACGCTGCTGTTGATGTCCAGCGACCAACAAGATATTAATGAATGGTATCGGAGTCTCACAGCTGCAGTCAGGTAAGCATCTATTTTCCAGAGGTGGAAGGGGATGAGGGAAGGGGACAGGACATAAAAATGAGCATATGGACCTGTGTATGGCTGTAAGGGTGATAGAGAAGTCCTGACTGGCAGTCAGGATACAAGGGAATAGTAGGAACAGATTTCACATATTAACAGTGAACTTCTTCTTTGTTTTCCTCTACAGGAAGCTCAAAGCCTGACCCATCTGAGTACAAGACAGATTGGCAGAACAGCCACTCTCTTGGCATAAGCCTAGACAACCTTAGAAAATGTTCAGGGACATATAGTGCAACTGCATTTAGAGGGACTATACACTGTGTTTGAGAGATAATGAATGCTTTGTCAGCTGTCCTAATCTTCAGGTGCTGCAAAAAACAACATGCACACTAAGCATTTGTATATAAAAAAACTGTGTCAAACTTTTCCCCAACTTAGCTTAGAAGTTTCTAGCTTTTCTGCACCTTTTTCCCCTCAGATTATTAATTTAAGGACAAACAGAGGAGAGCCTGATTTCCTTTCCCTCATTAAAATGTGTTTATCCAACTGTCTTTCTAAATTAGAGTTTTCACATTTATTTGTCTATGTGTATGTCTACCTGCTCACACTTCTGGGTCCCCTGATCAAAATGTGTGCTTTGGGGAGTGGCAAAGTGGACATTACACTGTGTTTTCTGGTAGTGCCTTGGGGCCATAGACATTTTATCAAGCAGCATTCACATTTATAGTCTGAATCCTAAGAGATTATGCAGATGAAACAGCCCTTGCCTTTGCCTGTAACATGTACTTACTGCTTTGAAATGCCGCAGGGGAAAAGCCTGGGCAGCACCTCTGCTCCTGATGCATAGGGAAAATCTCCAGAAGTTCGTCAGCATCCTGGGTGGTAATGTGCTAGGGTTCAGTTTAGTAAGATGAAATACCAACTTAAGGAAGAAATATAGATAAGGTATTACTTTTGAGTGTTTTGTTAAAGCCTCAGCATGGATTTTTTATAATGTGGAAGCTCTGCAGCAAGAGCAGTTTGGATCACCTCTCTATTGAGGGAGAGAACATCTGTTTGAGCAAAATGCAGGTGAAGTGCAAAGAGGGTAGTTTCAAGGTCATTAGAAGCACTGCATTAAGGTCTTTCTGAACACTGACTCTTTAGCAATTTGACAGTTTTTTCTTCTTCCTTAAGCAGTCCCACTTATCTTAATTTTACACTGGGGCTCATTAAAACAGAACAGGTACTGTGTGAGGGAAGTGTCCTGAAGAGAGAATACATAACTTCTATTTTGTTCTTCCATACAGTTAACTCACTACATACGATCACTCATTTAAATGTCTCAAGTTTGTGAAACTTGGGAGGGAGAAGTGAATGCAACAGGGTTTTGCAAGCCACACCATTTCCACTGTGTTTTGCTATGAAAAGTTGGACCAGCCATCCTTGAGGTCCCTTCCAACCTGGTATTCTATTCTGCGATTCCATGTTTACATTGGGTTTTGTTTCATTTTTTTTCCACTTGAAAGTTACAGCCAGGACTCTCAAGTACTAGCTGTGCTTGAAATCAAGAGACAAAGCTAACAATTTAAGATTCCTACTGCTCAGTAGTTAAATCACTCTGAAAAAGTTCTGCTACTCTCCCTTTTTGTTCTAACAAGGCAATATGGAGATTTCTTGCAATCCTGCATCTGAAGCTGAGATGTCTGCACAGCTCTTGCTAGAGACAAGTATGACTCCAGCCTGTGTTACTGCTTTATTATAAGACAAGCTCCTTTGGTACTTACTGTCTCTTTGTAGGACTTACCTCAGTGTTACCATCCTATTTGCATTCAGCATTTTCAAAACAGCAAAAGTATCATAGTATGTAAAGGGGTTGAAATGGACCTTAGAGATCTAGTTCAATCCTCTGCCCTGGGCAGGGACACCTCTCACCCTACGAGGTTGCTCAAGGCATTATCCAACCGGGCTGTGAACACCACCAGGGTTGGGACAGCCACAGCCTCCCTGGGCAGCCTGTGCCAGTGTCTCACCACCAGAACAGGGAAAAACCTTTCCTAATATCTAACCTAAACTTCGTCTCCTTCAATTTGAAGCTGTTACCCCTTGTCCACTCTACTTCTGCTCCACAGGCTCATGCTGGTAAAAAGGGGAGAACATACTATTAAACTCACCTCCCAAATGCCATTCATGAGTCAACAGGGGACGCAGCTAACAATAGATGCACTTACAGATTAAAAGCCCTTGCAGAGGTAAGGTAAATATGGTGCCCCTACACCTATTCACAGAGGGCATCACCCACCCTGCTCTGCGGCTTTAGGGCTGAGCAGCTTTTCTCCACAGCGTTGGGAGACGAGAGGATACATCTCGTCTCCTTTCAACTGTTTCAAAGCTGTTCAACTCTCTTAGGGTTTGCCTGCTAAGCTGAAAGCTGTCATGGACCACTGGCCTAAGAAAATGAAAAGTGCTGGGGTTATATCAAGAATTTAAAGACAAACAGACCTCACTTTTAGCTTTCTTTACCACCAAGTTTGGGAATATGCAGGACACAGGGCTATTTTGCTGTAATAAGCGTTAGATCACTTAAAAGAACTAGGTGCTGGCCCTACTGTGTCCCAATAGAATTTTTCATTAGCTGCTTTGCTTTCCCAGGACATAAGAATCATAAGTATCTTATTCACTGATAAGGCTGAACACTGGCCTCTAGAAAACTACCTCTGTCACAGTGGAGTGCTAATGCTGTCCCAGAGCAGAGCTGTGGGACCAGAAGCTGTAACAAACCCAGTTCTTGCTCGAGTAAGTTACTAACTCACCTGCACAGGAATATAATTTAAACAGAAACAAACTTGCTTTCTGAACAAATTTTATTTACACAGAGAATATCAACCATTAGGGCTCCTAGCTTTATTTCCTTCTCTTGCTGAGCCTCTATACAAACCACAGGAAGAAGTAAGTAAACTCTGTGCTTGTGCTCCTGTCACAACAACCACCTTCAGAGACCAACTCCTGTGCCCCAGGACAGCATCAAGTGGCTGTTGTGTGGGCAGCTCAGAGTGAACCCTCCCTGGGACAGCCTAGATGGTGGTGCCTGGGGGGCACTGAGCCTCCCGCTGCATGTCCTCCCGGTAGCCCTTCACCGCAGCTGGTTGAGCAGCGTCTTCTCGGAGTCGCGGCGCGGGCGGATGAGCGGCGGCAGCGCGTTCCCCTTCAGCTCGATCACAGCCATCTTAGCGCGGTCCAGCCCGTCCCGGTTGGGGATCTGCAGCAGGCGTGTGTAGCTGCCGGGGTGGGGC